TATATATATGTGCAAAAAATTAGGTGGGATACAAAAGTTCATCTGTAAGGAGGATAACTGGAAAATAGAATATATTTATCATTATATCATCTTGTATGTAAAGATCAGGTTTTTCATGAGGACCCAGTCAACTTAATCCCTGATATACCCAGTATAAATGTACCTTATACTGCTATTTAACTTAGAACTATTCACAATTGGTAACATTCCCCCCCCCCCAAAGAAAAACACTTTCCAGTTTGACTCATCTTCCACCTAGGAAACAGCATCTAGAAATTAGATGACTACATGTGAGACTATATCCGCTTTCATTTCTAGGTTTGCAGTTCTGTATTCAGTTATTGACTCTATGAGGAAAAAGGAGAGTTGCCTAGGATGGAAGTGGTAGTAGATGCTTCGGACTTGTATTCACCCACATATTTGTGTGCAGATGCTTTATAATTTGGGAAACTGATCACTATTGCAGAATATGGTCTAACCTTTCTAACTCCTATGTGCAAGAGAATGAGGAAACCAATACTATGTTTATAAACCAATATAGAAATGCCCTCAAGTTATTGATCCCTTATTATGTGTCAGAAACAGAGTACTTACCTGTTCTACATATCAGAATCTTAAGTGTGGAAAGATCCTTTCAAAGTCTTCAAAGTGTAGTGGCCAATATCAAACCCACCTACACTAATTAATAAAGAAAAAAATAAAAGAAGGAACTCTAGCTCAGTCAGTCAACTAAGTGCGTGACTTTTGTTTAGTGCTTAATATTTCTGGCATCTGTTTTGTCATCTGTCAATGAGAGCAATGAACTAGCGGGTGTCAAGGTTTTTTAGTTTAAAAGTCTTAGGACAGTTATCACTACACAAGCAAAATGTATAGGTGATGGTTCAGTGGAACAAATGGTTCATTTCTCTCATGATTTCTTTCATACGAGTATTCAAAAACTTAGTGGAAAATGAGTATTATGTAAATACTATGCATAAAATTCAATTTTTTAGCACCAAAATAAACACATACTTTAATTCCACGTTCTAAGAATGTTTCGAAGTCCTCTTATATTTCTTGGAGAGCAGAATTCAAAGGAGGTGATACCTCTATCTGGTCAGAAGGCAGAGGTGCATAGCCAATGAAACAGTATCTGAAAATACAAAGTCAAAGGAGCATGCAGAATTTAGTGCAGACCAGGCAGGGCATACTGAGGGATGGTGAGTGGCTAATTCTTCAAGGAATTGTGTTCTTTAGTGTAAAGTGACCAACAAAGTATAGTTCCTAGGAAATCTATTCGAGTTATTAGCTAGTGACTGAACTGTCACTGAATGCTGGAAGAATTAGAGAAAAAAATACTGAAATATGTTCTAGCTATGTTTAGAGGGCCATCACAAGAATAAACAAGGGTAACAGAATCACAGTTCAGTGGGCTCAGTGAAGGATCAGAGGTTCTAAGTTACAGAAACTCTCTCTAGTTCACATAAGCTGAAAAGTGATGTCATCTGGTCACACATTAATTCAAGTAGAAAGCTGGAGAATCAAGCTTAGGAAAAAAAGCAGAAAGCAGGTAGCTCTAGGGATCTAGCAGCAAGAACAGCTCAATAATCTCATCAGTCTGTTGCCATTTTAACAAGTGAGCCATACCAAATTTCTCTGATTCCATACAGGATTCCAATTCCAGGAGAGGAATTAAACAAGCAAATAGTTTAGCTTGTTTGTAAAGTGCACACCTCGCAATTAGAAAACAAAACAAAAAACCGTATCTTGATTTTTCAGTCTTTATAAAGACTATAACTGGTGCAGGAAAATTCACATACATACACACAAATTAGGATATCATTTCCAAAAGAGGGGGAAATAATGTCCGTTACTCTCAATTATGGTCAGGGCCAGGATCCAGACTCAATGGGGAACTAGAATAATGTTAAAGAGCTAGCATAGGAAGCCCAGTCTGTGAATCATACACAAAGAATTCTCTCCCTACAGTGAGGGCACAGGCTACTGAGGTAGAATAGAAGTCTCCTAAATGCACCTCTAGCTCCAGATCTCACTGACTCAAGACTCTGACCTGATTTAATCTATGGCATGTCAGCAAGTTAAATGATATAATATAACCCATTTCAAAGTTCCTAGAACACAGAAACTATGGTTAACATTTATATATAATCAAAATCATCTAGTCATCATGAAACTTAAGCTGAATAGAAGAGATTCAGGCAACGATTGGATTTCAGTTTACTTTAGCTATGATTCCACTTAGGATTGATGTATGATAATTGCAATAGAAAAATATGGGAATAAATACATTTTAATAGTGTTTTTGTCATTATCTGTGTGACTCTGAACAAGTCACATAACTTCTCCACACCTTTTTCTTCATCTGTGCAACAGGACTAATAAAAATGATAATATTGCCTATTGTATATGGTTATTATGAGGACTGAATAAGGTAATACATTTAAAATGCTTGCAAAACTATCTAACATAAGAAACAGTATATAAATGTTATCACCTCTTCTTAGTGGTATTATTGTTACTCTAGAGTTTACAAAGTGATTTTTATTTTTATTACCCCATTTAACTCATACAATCTTGTGGTGAGACTGTCCTTTAAAAATGTTAACTATAAGACCAGTACCAGCAGTTAGCATAATGGCTATGTCGCTGAACTCCCATATAGTCGACCGCAGTTTGAGGCCCAGATCTGGTGACTTAAACTCACGCTGGGCACGCGTGTGTGTGTGCCCAAGATCCTGAGGAGAATGGAAGAGAAGGGACTGTGGCATGACCATCGAACCCTGGGGGTGATTTCTTGCTTTCTGTCTCTCTGTCTCTCTCTGGCTTTCTGGCAAACGCATGTGCCCTATAGCAAAAACCTCTCCAAAAGAAAACCAGAAAAATGTTAACTATAAGGCCTAACCATGGTGGTTTGGGCAGTAACATGCAGCTCTATAGTGCTAGAAGCCACAAGCTTGACCATGGGCTTGGATCTTTTTTTCAGGAAATATGCCAGTAGCAATTGCCCCAAGATCCTAACTAGCTGGAGGGCTGGAGGAAGGGATCGCAGTGAGAAGAGACTCTGCCAAAGGTCCTTCTCTCCACTCATCTTCTTCCCTCATATAGAAATAAAATAAATAAATTTAGAATATTTGTAACTATGAAGAAGTGGAGATTTTTATTTAAATGAAAAAATAATATATGCTCTCATCTTTTAAGTCCAAGTATTATATTCTTCTAATAGAACTTGTTAAATATATGAAAAATGTCTCATTAGAAGATTTCCATGAAAACAGGAAGTAAATGAAAGTCCCAATGCTGGGTAACAACTATTAATAATAGTGGGTGGTTAGTTACATTTCACAATTTTAGTCTAATCATTTATGCATATGTTCAAAAGAAACATGTTCCCCTAGCAAAAGTACAGACACTCTTTGTTCTTCACACTTTGAAACCAAAACACACACACACACACACACACACACACACACACACACACAGAGGTGCTCTCTATTATAATGGGAAAATGAGAGTACAGTATCAAGATACTTGTCCTAGGTAACGAGATTACTTACCCAATGTGGCTCCCTCTCTGTTTTTCCTCCCCCATTCCCACATCCCATATCTCTACATTTCTATTTGTATTTTTTACAGGACGGTCTCTTCTGGGTTCACTGTTGTCTTAATGTTGTAAAAACAGGAAGATCCATTTCCAAATAAAACTGCAATGAAGGGTCAACTGATGAGGTAAAACAAAAATAAAGAGCCTCACCTCTCCTTCCCCAGATCTAAGGAAAATGAGAAATCAAGAACTGCTTAAGTGCTCACTTTGGCAGCACGTATACTAAAATTGGAACAATGCAGAGAGGATTGGCATGGCCCCTGGGCGAGGACAATGTGCAAATTCATGAAGCCTTTCCTATTTTGATGTCATAAAGATGTATGATGATTTAATGTAAGAGAAAATAATAAATTACATAAAGATTTTGGGGGGCAACATATCACAGAGGTGTTTTTAATTAATTCTTTAAAAACATTTTAAGCTTTTTTTTTTCAATAATGATAAAGAGTACCTGTGGGGTTGGGGAAATAGAGTCTCTTCAGAGTCTCCTCATGTTGTGATTCCCTTTCCCCAGCTCTCCTCCTGCTCCTCCGGATCTCGGTCACATGTGTATATGCTGACATGCTTTCAGAACAACCTGGGGACCTGAACCTGCACTCATCCATGTGGTTTCCAGCACTGCAGTTCAGTTTGCTACCGAGTGCACCACGAGGTGGGGCCAATTAATTATTTGTTTTTTCCATGTGAAAGAGTTATAAAGACATTTCTCTTTACTTCATAAGACAGTTTGGAAATAGCTAATACTATCAGTAGGATCATACTAATCAAGTCTAATAAAATAGAGATATTTTTGTTTATATGTACAATGAAAAAAAAAAGTATGACTTTGGAACCAGTATAGAGAAACTATGCCTAAAATGTATTATTTATTTTCACATCCAAGACTTAAGAATTAATTCTAATCCCTGTATGGATGTCTGATCTTGATCCTTGCATTTTGAAAGATTTAATTTGTTTTATCCTCAGAAAGTGTTACTCATACTGGCTTACAAAACAATCAGATACTACAGTAGGATTTATATCTATCTCACTAAGTAAAAAGCAGTCATTGGAAACCTCTGTCACCTTACTGCATTTCTTTTATTTTTTCTAATATAAGGAATGTTTTAGTCATTTAACTTACTTAACACAGAGAGTAAATTTCCCACCACTATAATCGTCACCAGCACTAGCTACGTATGTCTGAAAAAACACTCTGAAAAAGAGTGTAAACTGGAGTTTTACTGTCAGGATAACTTTGTTCTCTGCACTACTACTACAATTAGGATCATGGTAGCTTTTGGTAGCTAAATGCCAAGAATGTAGACAGCATGTTGACTCGATGCTTGCTGCCTGTCTGAATCCTGTTTTTTTTTTTTTTTTTTTTTCTCTAGCTTTGTGATATTTTTTCTTTTTTTTTGGAGAGGTTTTCACTATAGGGCATGTGCGCTCGCCAGACAGACAGAGAGAGACAGAGAGACAGAAAGCGAGAAATCACCCCCCAGAGGGGATGGTCACGCCGTAATCCCTTCTCCTCCATTCTCCTCTCGGGATCTTGGGCATGCACGCACACGCACCCGGCGTGAGTTTTAAGCCACCGGGTTCGGGATGTGAACTGCGGTCGACTACGTGGGAGTCCAGCAACATAGCCATTACGCTAACTGCTGGTTCCCTCTAGCTTTGTGATTTTGAGAAATTACTTTAATGCTCTGTGCTAGCTTCCTCACCTAATTTGGTGTAATAATATACCTACTTCATAGGGTTGTTGAAATTGTTAGGAGGAACCAGCAGATGGCATAATGGTTACATCATTGGACTCCTACATAGTCAACTGTGGTTCAAGTCCTGGACTTGATGACATAAAACTCATGTCTGGCATGTGTACGTGTGTGCCCAAAATCCTGAGGAGAATAGAGGAGAAGGAACTGTGGCATGGCCATCCCCCTGGGGGTGAATTCTTGTCTTCTGTCTCTCAGGCCAGTGCATGGGCCCTATATACAGCAAAAATCTCTCTTTAAAAAAAGAAAAAGAGTTGTTAGAAGGATTAGGAAAAAGAATGAAGAACTCAGTGGGGTGTCTACCACTTACCAAGGGGTCAATAAATACTAAGTATTTGGACCAGCAGATGGTATAAACCAGCAGATGGTTCAAGTCCCGGACCCATCGGCTTAAAACTCATGCCAGGCACACGTACATGTGTCCCCAAAATTCTGAGAGGAGAATTGAAAGAGAAGAGATTGTGGTGTGGCTCTCCCACCTGGGGGATGATTTCTTGCTTTCTACTTCTCTCTCAGGCCAGTGCATGGGCCCTATAGCAAAAATCTGTCTAAAAAAATAGTAAATTTTAAAAATAAAAAAATAAAAATCTAAGTATTACTAGTTGTTTTTAAAAAGTGATCATGCAAATGCACATGGATTATGGTATGTGTGTGGAAGAGATTCTATTTAAAAGGAAAAGGAAAGCACCACATGAGACAAGATCATACTAGCCTTAGAATTTTTTTTCTTTTAGTTTTTACTTGGAAATAGTAAAAGCATGTTTGCATGTTTATTTAGTTTTGGAGATACCCACACATTTCTTTGAAGTTATTTCTATTGATCGTTCTACTTTTTTTCTATATAAATAGGTAAAGCAGGTGGCAAAAATGGGGAATGACTACTTATGATGTTGGAGTTTTATTTTAACGTAATAAAAAGGTTCTAAAATTGAGTATGGTGATGGTTGCACAAAGCTGTGAACATGCTTATCATTGTTTATACATTTTAAATGGGTGAATTGTGCGATATGAAAATTATATCCCAATAAGGCTACTATCTTTAAAATAGGAAAATAATAATGACTATTTCATCTGTCATTGTGGCAGTTCAATAAGAAAAAAACACATGGAGTATAATTTTAAAAAGAAATTTTTTTCAAACTTCAGAATTAGTTTAAAGAGATTTGGATCTCATTTTACAAAATGAATGTTGGATTTAAGTGTGTGTTTGAGAGAAAAATAAGAACAAATACATCCTTTTCTTTAATGGTTGAGTGCCTGGCATTTTTAGTGTTCCTGAAATGATTACTCACTCATAAAAATATCTCAGTAGTTAAACTGTTAAAGCTAACAGCAGTGATCACTCTGTTTCCTCATAATGTATCAAGGATTCTGTCTTTGCGTATTTCTGGAACTCACATGGTAAAGACTCAAAGTGATAAAATTAAATTAAACCTATGAGTCAAGAACAGGCAATAGTTTATTAGTTATTATTTATAACTCACCATGTTCCTGAAGGATTTAAGGCAGCTAGAATATCATTTCTAAGGTTGGAAAATAGAATAACATATTTATAACTAAGTTCTATTTGCCATATGTACTAAAATAGTTCTCCCGGAATAACGGTAATACACGGATATTATCTGGGGTACCTAGTATCTCAAGAGCAAAATAGTTTCATGCCTGCATCTCTCTACATGTTCATCACTCTACTAGGACTAATGCAATAAGCTTCAATTAATTTCTCTCTCTTAAAAAAATCCCACGTGATAATAATGCTATGATTCCCCAAAGTTCGTGTGCAGGAATCTTAGTCCCAGGTGCAATAGTATTGAGAGGTAAGTCTTTTAAGAAATGATTAGGTCTTGAGGGCTCTGCCCTCATGGATCAATGCCATTATCATGAGAATGCGTTAGTTATTAAGGGAAGGGACTCCTAAGAGAAGGATAAATTTGACTCCCTTCCTTTCTCTGTCTCATACGTTTTTTGACTCTCTACCTTCCAGGGATGATGCAGTGTGAAGGCCACTGCCAGATGCCTACTCTTAAGTCTTCCCAGAGTCTGGAACTATAAAAACTTAAAATACAAGTCTTTGTTCTTTATAAACTACTTAATCTCAACTATTCTGTTATATCAACAGAAAACAGACTAAAACAATTTTTAAGGTACTACCAATGAGGAATAATTACCTATTTTGGAAAAGGACCTAAGAGCTAAGTACAAAGATCCTAATTTTCTAAAGCACTATTCAGGCTGACTGATATGTTTATAAATTTACTACTTTATGTGAACAATGAATAATTTAGTTCCCTAAAAATCATCCTTTGGAACTTGAAGGCACACACAGGGAAAGTTAAAGAAAATCAATTAAATTGGGATGACTGAATTTCTATTTTCTGAATGATTCCATACGTATGAAACCCTCCTGCTCAGTAAAACCAAAGATAAGAGCAGTGGTTATCAAACACTGGCAGATCTCAAAGTCACCTGGAGGACTTGATTAAACATGGGCCATACATCTAGAATTTTGGATTCCATAGTACTTCTGGAGTGGAGGCTTAGAATTTCTATTTCTGTCCTAGTCTAGTGGCACAAATGGTAGCAGACTGAACTGCAGTGCTGGAAGCTACATAGCTAACCTCAGGTTTGGATCCCCAGGTCAGCCTGGGTACCCCAAGATTCTTAGGAGATGGAGGACTTGGAAAAGGGGTTCATAATGTAATGAGATGGAGGAATCCGACCCGGTAGGGCCCCAGGATCTGTGTTGAGCTTTTGACCTTTACCTCTTAGGTCGGGCCAGCACGTTGGCAAGGCCGCTCCTGTGTACCCCCCTCCCCCCCGACCTAGGAATAAAACTTAGGTTGAATTAGCATGTCAGCAAGGCTGCTTGCTATTTGCTCCAGAAAACTGTGGTAGCCTTGCTGGGAAGCAACCCCCCTCTGACTCCCTGATATACTATAAAAAATTACATAGCTCTCTTGAGTATGTGATGAGATTTTCCCAAAAGTCCCCCGACCACTCCCCTCGGCCCTGATCACCTACTGTTAATAACAATGCTTTATCTCTGTGGTCACAATGGAGGGTGGGCTGAAGTTCTATCTAGGCAGAAATAATCTTGACCTTTGGAAGGCCCTTCAAGGTACATTTAACATAAACTTAAAGATAATCTTTTCTTTACATAAAATAGGATTAGGCCAAAACTGGCCCAGGACACCCCCGCCCTCACTAAGTGAGATAAATATATTAGGATTCCTTAAATTAAGCTTTAGATCCCTATAAAACCATATAAATATCATTTTTTATTAAGATCCATAAGAACTAATATCTATACTTGAGATTTTCTTTTCTCAGTATCCTGCTCGGTAATCACAAGATGGCTGCCACCGCATCAGCTGATAATTATCTCTGCTTATTGGAACCACTTTCCCGAAACTGCATTCCATGGAGACCCACCTACATCAAAGGAACAATTGCGGAACTGCACTGGACCCACCCTTAATCCAACCCTAAATAGAATCTATGTTCCTTATTGTTAAAACAAGTAGCCCCTCTTCCATTTACTTGTATGTAACACATTTTCAATAAAAAGGCACGATAATTCCTGGCAGTTGTCACTCTTCAGAGAGCGATCTCTGGGAGTGTCCAGCATAGGACGTGCATGAAAAGGCACCGAGACCTTTGTCTTCTGTTCACCTGCGCCACCTCCATTGAGTCAACCCACCCCTGCTGAGGCTGGACCCTGGCAATGAGACACTATCAAGGATTCTTATTTATTTTTCTGTCTCTCATGCATGCACATACACTATCATGAATAAAATAAGTAAAAAAAGAATTTGTGTTTCTTACAAGTTCCCAGGTGATGCTAATACTGCTGATCTAGGGATGACAATTTGAGAACCACTGCTATAAAGTCAGTGACAACTAAGGCTGATATTAACAATTGTAAATCTTGCTGCCACAGTGGACTGATTATGGGACACTTAACAACTACTGATGAAAATGCAACAAAACTTCACCAACCCTTTTAAGCAACTAGAGCAAAATTTCGACTAACTTATAAGAAGAAAATATTATAAATTCAGAGTAAATTCCTGTAAATTATGAAATTGAGTCATTTCTATGTCTTAAATGTTTGGTCATTATTTTCTTTTCATGTGTTTTTCTTCCTATTAGTAATATATCCTTAAAACCCCTTTCATAGTAGAAGTACAAAGTGACATTTATTAGCATATTCCCCCTTAAAGCCTGTTCAATGGCCATGATGATGAGAGCTCCCTCTGAATAGCTATTTCGCCCTCAGCTTCAGTCCTAGAGTAAGCTCATATGGAAGACTCTAAAATCCAATTTGTAGTGAAGTGCCTAGTGCAGTGGGATATGCACCTTGAGCAGAGCTTTCCAATAGAGTCCAGTCCGGATCATTTGATCCTTAAGTGATTTACAGATAACTAAGACATAAATATTTATTGCTGAATATGGCTGGAATTGTGTGGTTATTTATTACATAGCAATAGCTGTGTAATGACACACATTGAGTTTTGGTATTAAAAAAAGCTTTACTTTTGAAGAAATCTAGAAATAACTCCAAAATAACTGTGACAGATGATATAACTTTATCTTCATTATAGATGGAATCAACAAGACTCTTTAAAAAAAAAAAAGCATTTCTAAATGTTAATTAACTGTTGGTGCAAGCAGAAGGAGGGAGTACTACTGTGTGATGCTAGAGTTCCTATGAGAAGGCTCTCAATTTACATCCCGAGTCTACCTGAACACATCAGGCATGCCCACAGGTATGCTCAGTTGTGATCTTGGTTGGCTTCAGATCTGAGAGGAGGATTGTTGTGTGAAAACACTGTGACTTTCTTTTGCTCTCTCTCTTACCTCTCTCTTTTACTTTCTCACACATGCATAGAAACCAAGGGAAAAGAAAAAGATAAATGTTAATTAATTTATGAAAGAATTATCACAGATAATAAAGCAAATTTATATTTGATGTGTTCTAAGATGCACATCAAAAGTACATAAAGTGTACTTATTAATCTTGTAGATTACGCATTCATTAATTGAAACTAAATCAATGAAATTATGTAGATGGAAAATTCAACCAAGTCTTTTATTAAGTATAAAGTGTAATTTTTTTTAAATATTTTTTTCATTTCATTTTCTTTTATACATTCAATCACATTATTATTTGTCTTACAAAATGGATATTTCAACAGGTGAACATTTCTCCTTAGTACAGTTGATAAAACTACAAAATATCTTCAATGGATAATATCACATTTCTTTGTGCCATTAATGCTTTGCCTCCCTATTTTTCTTCTAAATGTCCTTCCTCAGACCCTCCTCTTTCACACACACTATATCTGGTATTTACATCCATTCACTGTGTTTCTATATCCTTTAGTCAATTAGTTTCAGTCATAGAGTGTGGACACTCGGTATGATATTAGAATTTATAAATTTATCCATATAACCTAATTTTATATGACTTTACTATATTTTAATAGCAATACTATAACATGTAATCAACAGAATCAAAACAAATAATTTTTTGAAAATCAAACACAGAACATTTAAACAAGTATTAGTGCTTTCTGAAAGATCTGACAAATACATTGGTTATATAAAATTAAAGGCCATTAAGTTTCCAAATGTTAAAAACTCTTCTCCTTCCATGTGAGTCCTTCCTAAGATGACAATGATGTAAGTACAACTATATAAGAAAAAAGTTTTAAAAATTGCATTTATTACTTCTTTTTTAAATTCTTTTTGTTGATGAAGTAACAAAATCTTTAAAATCCATTTCATTACATTTAGTATCTATCACATGGAGATCTTTCACAATTTAAAATATTTCATGAGACAGATAATCAATGCCCATTTCAGAGAAAAAAAGAGATGGACTATATTGAATTACATTTTGTAAAATATGGTCAGTCACATGGGAATTAGGAGGGCATTCTCAATAGAAACTAGATGATTTCAGAAATAAGACTTATGATCTTTTATGCACAATTTAAGACTAATCATTAAATTGATTTAATGATTATGTTTAGAGATTAATTTAAAACTTATCTTAAAAATATTTTGAACACAGTATCTTCATATATTCAGTTTTAGTATGGTTCTCATATTTGGTAAATTGCTAAGGATGTGAGTTATTTCCAACATTTTTTACCTCTGCTGAATTCAAGAGAATGCCTAGTCTCCATAAATAAAAAGTAAATAAAGGAAATGCATCAGAGAGTTGAAAAATTGTTTCATCGTGCTTCTGAAGAAATTTCTTGACTTCTTGGTCATGATGCCCTTTACTCGAGGTGCTACCTTCTTTGTTTTCCTTTTGAAGAAGCTGTTCCAGAACCCAGCACAGGGAGAAAATATTTTCATAGCGTGTCACATCATAACTGCCTTGTATCTACAAATAAATTAAAAATTCTTAAAAAAAAATTGGCCATGGATTACTGCAGAAAAATTACAAACAGATTGCTTTAAAAAAAAAAAAAAAACTTTAATTTCATTAAATATTTTAACTCCGAGACTCTTCCAGTACGACTGACAACTTCAACAACAGGCTGTAGACTTGTAGTTTCTGTCCTTTTTTTTTTCTAAAATTATATTTTTATCAATGTAACCTTCCTTTTATGGCAACTTTTTTGTTTACTATTATTTTCACTTGTTTCTTTTTCTTTTTTTCCCCCACTTTTAAAATTTCATTTTCTTTTATACATTCAATCACATTAAAATAAAATAAACATTTTATTAAACACCTTTTGTTTTCTTGTATCTTTGATTGGTGGAGAGAGTAGAAAACAAAGAATATTTGAGTTTTTCAAAGATTCTACCATCTTAGTCAATGCTTTATCATTGATGGTTTCCTCCAAATCTTTTCTCTGTACTTTCACTATAATTCATTAGTTAGATGAACCTGAGAATACTTGGTGAAGAGTTTTACATATACCAGGTGTTGAACTAGCTTGGCAAAATTTTCCCACATATGACATTCCTGTCAATGATAATATAAAAATATGGGTAGAATTTTAGGAACATGTTTAGACATAAAACTCAAACCTACAACAAGTGGAGCTATGATCTATAAGCAACCAATTGTTATCTCATCTGAATCTATATAAGTCAAGGAGGAATAGATTGTGTGGAATAAAATATGTGGTCAAGAAGAAAAAGGTAGATGTACTTTATAAAACTGAATGTTTGGCTTAGTTAGTCATATTTGAAGGAAGTAAAGAAAAATAAATAACTTTCTTTAAAGGCTTGTAATGAGACACCAAGGCATGGCTACACATCACCTCCTGTCCCCAAGAAACAGATGCTATTGTGCCACTTCAAGACCTGAGCTACTACCTCTCCATCTTCTTCATACCCTACATGTTCCCTGACCCCTAAATTGCAGCCACCCCGTGAGTGTCCACACTTCAAATGCAAGCTCTGTGTCTGGACTACACCTGGCAATGCCACAGACACTGGAGCCAGCATTGTGTCAAGCTGATTTATATTCTGTCTCTGGAACTGCATCCTCTCTAAGCATGTCTGTGCTCTGGAAACCAACACAGCTTCCACAGAGAGCTAGGCTCCATCCTGATTCTGGGTCCACTATAACTTAACTTGCTTCTGCTCTAGAGAGCTCAGCTTCCTGGCCGTTACACAATCACCTGTACCTCAAATACTATTAGCAATGAAGATGAGGGTACATTAGCACCAGTGCCATATGGTCTGGGCTATAGTCTCTCCATGTACCTCATTCCACTTAAAATGGCTATATCAGAAAGACAAAAATAACAAATGCCGGTGAGTATGTGAAAAAAGGGAAACTCTTATATACCAGAGGTCCCCAACCCTCAGTTCATGGACCAGTGACAGTCTGTGGCTTGCTGGGAGCTGGGCTAAAGACCAGTGCCTGTCCGCCAGGCTATGCAGCAGTAGATGGGAAGCCAGTAAGTGAGTAAGGCTTTGTCTGAGTTTGCAGCCACTCCCCATTGCTTACATTACTAAAGATAAAAAATGACAGATGGTGCTTGAGAAAATTGCAGGCTGGATTTTCTTCCTTTTGTATTTTCATTGTCTCCATTCTTTTTCTGTTTTTAAAGAGAAATAAACTAGAAGAGGCAAAATGGGAAAACAAACAAACAAACAAAAAACAAAAACAAAACCTCTTCAATTATATTAAACTCACATTCCAATCAAGTTTGACTTCATACATAGCCTTTGTTGTCATGTATCAACTGAATACATCTAATATGCTTACAATTTCCTTGACATAGAATGGCGTCTATCATCAATCTCAGATTACCAGCACCCTTATCAGCCTTCAGCACTACTTATAGATACCATATATCTATAGAGTTTTTCTTGATCTTCTCATTTTATAGACTTTAACTATTCTGATTTGTTTTATTTACTGTTTAGACTCTAAACATGTTGAGGAATGTGTCTGTGTTCTTTTTACTACAATTTCTACGGAGCATAGAACAGTATCCTTTCCCATAATAGATACTCAATATATATACATATATATATAGCTCGCCAGACAGACAGAGAGAGACATAGAGACAGAAAGCGAGAAATCACCCCTCAGGGGGGATGGTCACGCCGCAATCCCTTCTCCTCCATTCTCCTCTCGGGATCTTGGGCACGCACACACACACGCCCGGTGTGAGTTTTAAGTCACCGGGTCCGGGACACGAACCGCGGTCAACTACGTGGGAGTCCAGCGACATAGCCATTACGCTAACTGCTGGTTCCCAATATATATTTGTTTTGAATTGAATAGGAATTTTAGTACCTCAAAATGTATTACTACAGACACATTTTGGTTACTATTTGAAGGAGAAACACAATGATATCTTTAAAATTTAAAACTATGTTTCAAACACTTTCCTTATTCTAAACTAAAAAATTGGTAGTATGTGTTTAATCTGATCGTATGAGCAATACTTAAACATTTTAAGCCTTCTCACTAAAGGACATGGATAGCTAAAGTTCCATCAGTTAATGGATAATTCTTCTTGGAAAACTTCAGACTATTGCTATACACATAACTCCTATACCTATTTAGAATTGAACAGAAATGAGATGGTCCCTAATACAGAAAGGTAAAATTGTTTAACTTACTTTAAAGCATTAAAAACAACAAAAATATAGTACTTCATAATGACCACTAAGGCAGGAATGGTACAAATGATTTTAGGGTTCACCTACATTGATAATTTTAGCTATATATGTTCATTTACTCTTTTGAGCCCTTAAAATAGATTGGGATTTTGTGAACCAAATAATCACTTTTTTGGCTTATTTAGGTTACTTTCTAATGGACCATTATTCTAATGTGTAGTGCCATTTTATAAACAGAAATGAGCAATCCAATTATACCTATCAAAATAAAAGAAAGTCTCTCCCGACCTCCAATCACTCCTTCAAGTATAGAGCACACTAGTTAGTTTCTGTGTAAAGCAGGCAGTGTGTGTCCTGGCACCTTTCCACTGGTTTGGAGAATTCCACTTTGGGCATGTTTAACTTTGCTCCCAGGTAGGCTGGAATCTCCACTGAAATACATAATTTCTCTGTGTTGTTTTGGACTTCGCCTTCATCTTGGGTTCCATCTCCATCCTAAAATGCTTATTCTCAGAAGTAATTGGATAAACTCTTTTACTCCAAGATATTACCAGCTCACAGAATGCTAATTTGAAACTAATTTTATTCTTTATGCACTTAACTTACATGCCTTAGTAGTTCTCCCTTTCAACATGAATAAAATGGCATGTCTGGGGGCGAAGTCTTTCCTGTAGTTTCCAAATTTTGACATGCTGGCAGCTGCCTACTTTGCTTAATCATATGCTCAAGCATTTTCTGAATTAGTGTCCCAAACCCAATAAAAACTGAGATAAATGGTATTAAGATGCTAGCTGACATTCTTCCACCATATTTTGATGTAATTTTTACATTCTCAGTGTCAAACTGCAGTTAACCACACTAGTGTTGAAAAATACCCCGTATATTTGGAACATACCCAACTAGAAGATAATCAGGTATCTTACCTGCACATTTCATCAGGAAAATAAATGTTCCCTGATACACAAGCAGAATGGCTGTGTATATATCAGTTTCTCTTTCTAGCTAGGTCTTTTATTTGAAGAAACTTTGAGACGAAGCCTCTACAGTCCCATGACTCATCCCATTTTATATAAAAGAAGGTCTTCCTTTTATATAAAGGAAATACTGAAAAAGTATTTTAAAAAGTACATTAAAAATCTCTTTCTAATACACACACACACACACACACATATGTCTGGGTCACAGTTAGAGAGAGAGAGAGAGAGAGAGAGAGAGAGAGAGAGAGAGAGAGAGAGAAAGGGACAGATACCCTCAACAGGTTCTTCATACTGTGATTCCAGTTTCAGCCTGTCAGCCAGAATCATATATACACATTTACGCTCACACACACACACACACACACACACATGCATACGCACACCCAGCATGCACAAGGAGACCTTAGGATGTGAACCTGGGACCTTCCCAGATGGCCTCAGCCTTCTGAAGCATTGTATTACATTGTACCATTGTGGCTGGCCATCATCAGATATTCTTGTAGAACATTTTTAGAATTAAAACATGTCTCATGTTTATTTTTCTATTCCCGAGCTAGGTTTGAGAAAGTCAAAGCATCAAAATATTTATTACATAGTGAAACAAAATTAATATTTCTTTATGTGCTGCTAATTTATACTTCAAAACTTAGATTTTGAAGTTAAAACTATAGACATAAAATGCCAGTTTCCTAATTACTGTTCAAGTTGGAATTCTGCCAAGGTTAACTTGACATTTTTGTGAAGACTTTCCTAAAAAAAGAGATATAGCTATTACTTAAGCTGTATCCATTTCTCCTTCTTCCTCATCAATAGAATCACAATTGCATTTTAGGTGACAATGACAGTTAAAATTTACATTTTGAAGTTTCCTAATTGTGGTCTAAGGGATATAAGCATACAAAACTGGGTGGGGTTTCTTGGAGAACTCATTAATGGCAGGTAAAATATGCTGGAATGCACCTTTTGCTCTTCCCCTTCATCATTATTCCCACCTGGAAATACAGATGCAATACTGAGTTAGAATAACCATCAGTAAGGTTGATAAGAGTGACCCAGGGAGCAAGCCATTTTGCTGCCCAGTATACTCAAGCAGGATGGCTGTTTCTTCTTGTAGGGTACCAGGGTTCTTTTCTTCCATTTTGATCTTTCAAAATGAGAACCTTGACTTGAGCTAGGCAGACCAGGGAACTTTAAGGTTTTTTAGCCTTAAAAAAGTGCCTCCTTTGTTATCTCCAATATAGAAAAGACAGAGATTTCTAAAGGGACAAAAAGAAAATCATATTATTTGGCAGTAGAAAATATAATAAAAGGT